GGGGGGGGGAGGAGGAGGAAATGTTGGAAGATCGGGAAACGCAAGGATAAGTAACGAAAATGTAAAGCCCGGATGAACCGCGCTCATCCCCTTTGGCGTCGGCGTTTGACGCGACCGCTGAAATTTTTACTTGGTTCGATTTGGTCTTTCGGGGATTCCCCGCCCTCTGATTGGTGGACTCTGGCCACGCCCTGCATATAAGGGTGGCTTGCTTGCCGGAGCACTATCAACCCTTATGTATGCCCGATGTGAGTACACTTATGTGTACGTGGTACATATATGTAACCGGTGCAGATTTCGCGCGTACATATACATATATACATACATATATTTATAATATACATATGTATATGTATATATATATATATATGTATGTATGTATGTATGTAGAATGAGTACATAGGCGTAGGAAGAACGTGTGTACAGGCCGGGGTGGGGCTCTCTCGCAGGACTGCCACGGGAGAGGCAGCCGACGGTGAACACTCGATACGACACGGTCGATCGAACCGGTCGTAATTTTAGCATGAAACTGTTATCTAAAAATGAACGACTCACCGACAGTCGCTATTCTTCTCTCGCGAAACTCTCGGGGGAACTTGCGGGTGAAATAACCAGAATCGAAGGCTCCGATGCTTTTGGATAATTCATTTCGGTGAGGAGGCCGTGAATTATTTTTGAAATGTGAAATTCTATCTTTCGAGAACTTCTCGAACAGAGAAAGAGAACTTTAATTTAAACAGAGAGAGAGAGAGAGAGAGAAAGATTAGAAAATAAAGATTCCACAATTACGTGAAGCGCTTAGGATAGCGAGTAAAATAACGAGTGAGAATTTACTGAGAGATCCGATTAGCCTCGCAAACGTCGACCTCCATTGTCTGTAATTAGCCGTTATTGAATAACGTCATATCGGCATCGGAATAAAGGGCGGTGGGTTTCGTAAGTAACCGGCGGAAATTGCGACGATGTTTCAAGTATGACTTGGAGCATTAGCGGCCGGGTACACGGAAACGGAATTTACGTAATCTCGCGGGCGCTGGATTGTTTTGCGCGGCGAATTGAATAGAATAAGATGTCACTTCACTTCGGGCAAGGGAATATTTTCATGCTGGGAATATTTTATACGAAATTTATGCCACAGAGGGATAGACAGAGAACGCGGGAAGAAACTTACCGTGTCTGCGTATAGATATTACTATTTTACAGCGGACGGAGTAGAATAAGATGTCACCTCAAATTGTCTCGAGTGACTAAAATAGCTTTACGTTACAAACCTTAAAAGCAACGACGAAGACGCCCCAGCCGGGAAAG